CGTGTGCTCTTTTTATCCCCTTCCGCTCCGCTGCGGAAAACCTCTATAAATCAAAATAAAACTTACTATAATCAAAATAAAACTACTTTAACTCGAATTATTATTGTCAGGTATTTAGATATATATTTTACTTCTGTAACTCAAATTTAAAGTATAGCCAGATCTCTGCAAGTCAAAGTTCACCTCTATAAGTCGAATTTCCATTGTCGCTACTTCTATAATTCGAAGTTGTAGCTATACGTGTAACCGTGAATTAATATAGCCTGGTATTTTGTTTTATGGTTACATTTATCATATGCAATAAATAATTCACTGTTAAATATTGATTTTTTTCCTCTAAAAGCCATTATATTCGGAAAATTATAAACTCTCGTACAAAACCTCCGTAAGTTGAATTTTCATGTGTTAACTCTCTTTTACTCGAATTTCGATAAGTCGAGAACTTTATAACTCGAACAGTTTTTCTGATCCCTTGAGATTCGAGGTTCGACCGTATTAGGAAATGAATAATCGAAAATCGAAAAAAATCATTTATTTTCTGTTAATTTATTAGTTTTTTTATTATTTTATTTTCTTTATAATTATTTTATAATTATTATTATAATTCTTATATATTATATTATAATTATAATTATATTCTTTATAATTTATTCTAGATCATTTTTTAATTAAAATGGTCTATTATATTCAAATTATAATGCTGGACTCTTTAACTGAAATTTTATACGTTGGCCTAATTGATATACTGTCGACAAGAATTTTAATCAAACAATCGTCTCCATACATACATTGTTTATTATGCGATCAGATATATATTTGCAGTAATCATATTAAATATCTGATCGCTGAAGATATTCAATATGGAACTGAAACGTTTGGGAATTTTGTATGAATTGTTATGAAATATATTATTAATTAATTAGCACTTATTACCGTACATGGCTCAATTGCCCTAATTTTGCTATACTTAATTGTTTTAATATAATTATCATGTTTAGAAAAGAGATAAAATTAGATTAGATTAGGTAAATTAATTAAGTACCCTAGTAGCATTTTCTGCAGAGCAAAATCTGCGTGCACTTAATTGCAACAGAATTCAACAACCTGCTGCAAAATTCATGCATTGTACATACATGCAAATAAACTATTTGTAGGTATTTCGATATTTGCTACAGAAATCGAGCTATTTTGAAGCAGATTCTTTCTGTGACTACAGTCTGTAAACAGTCTGTCGTCAGCAGACTGATATAAGATATTTTCAGCAGAAATAATGTGCAAGTTCTGGCGGAAAGAATGCTACAATTTTTGCAGCAGATTCTTGACATATTCTGCCAAGAAGACGTTATATGATCTGCTTCCTCAGATTTACAGTTTTGCAACATTAAATTGCTACTAGAGTACATAATTAATATTAATTAATGTTAATGTTATTTATTATTACATGACATACATACTCTTATTGTATGTATTAAAATAATGTAATACTTTTGTTAATTACATATAACAGTTTTTACGATTTACAACAGAATAGCTTTACAGTTTAAGACTTGAGACATAATTAGACAATTATGTGCGTTACAAAAGACAAAGATTTAAATCATAAAACTTGTCATAAGATTATAAGTCAGCGATTCTGCTTAGATCCTTAGCCGTAAGAAATAAAATTTCGTCAAATTGCTTGAGGATTATAAAGTTAAGACTAAAGTAAAAGCGGGAAAACTTTACGAATGGAAATATCATAAATTAATGGCTAAAAGCTTAAATCTTATTGTAGACACCGCTTTACACGATGACGGTTTATGGATTGAATACGCATTGCTTTTTTTTTTTACTTTCCGCACAAACCCATCGGAACTTTCGAACAACGCTTAATACTCTGTTATTTTGTTTTTATTCTTTTTATTTATATGTATCAGTATTATATTGAAGAGGACCCAAAAAATAAGGGTAGTTTATGTATTAATTTTGTTTATTGATATAATAATATACATTCTATACGCAGTTTCATCCAGTATCAACTTTTTATATTAATATTGTTTTAATTATTTGATTTATTAAAGTATGGTTGCCGAAAAATCAATAGTTTACAAGATATTTTATACTTTTATATTAAAATGTGCCAGAAGCATAAAATATTTCATACATTTTTGATAATTATTTTAATACTTTTATATGTAGAATAACTAAATTATGTAAAAAAACCATACATTTCTATCTAAAAAATAGCAATGACTTTTATGTGATCTTGAAAAATCAATTTTTTTGAAAATTGATTTTACTAATATTTATCCTTTAAATCACAACTTTTGTTTGAAATATTTTTTTTGTATTTTCGATGTTTGAGATATTTGCCTGCGTCACTTAAAATGGATTACTCTGTAAATTGATAAAATTAGTTAAAGGCGAAATTTTCCAGTGAACAGTTGCGTAATAATGCAAATGTGGAAATAATGGGAGAAAAAGAGAAATGACAGGGAACAAAAAATAACGAGGGTTCGACTCTATTCGTTAAATTTTTCTATAAAAAATTTATTCGTAATTAGATCGAATTAGAGATCAAATATCATACATGCAAAGAAATCGCGAATCTTCTTTTAATCAATACTCTTCTTTGACAAAATTTATATCTGTAAATTACGTTCTCTTTACCTTTTCATCTTCTCCTGTAATTCTATAAAGAAGTTTGTATTGAGACTCCGACATGTGTACCGATCAAATATTAAATATAAAACTCTTAAAAATCAAGATATATACGATAACCTGCCATAATAAAATGTTTTTTTAAATTTTATTTGAATCATTGTTAACTATGAGAGGAGGAAAAGGAGGGGGCAAAGTACAAGTTTTCAACGACAATATGTTGGCACTGTTACTTTAGGACGTTTCTTGGATTCCATTTCCGAAAAGAATTCTTTAATGTCTTCTTCGCGTACGACTTTCTTGTTTTCAGCAAATTTTTGTAAATATTGCATGAGTCGTTCTTTCATATTGTTGTACTCTGCAAACGATTATAAGCAATTTAAATGTTGCAGAAAGTGGTATCTATTTTCTGAAAGATTTAATGCTTTCAAAAATAAAATTTTATAGAATAATTTTTCCATCTCATTTGATCAATTTTACCTTCAATCGCCGTCAATTTTTGTACGTGCCCCATACTGGCCAGAGCCTTCATGCCTTTTTCGTATTGAGATTCACGTTTATTCATTTTGCCTGCTTCCTCATATGCTTGCACACTATCTTTCGGATCGAGTAGAAATGCAATGTCTTTTGCATTATATAACTGTAATAAAGATAAAAAATACAATAAAGGATTGTCATAAATGGACGCATAAGTCTTTCAAAGCTTCTAATATGTCCGTAAGAATAAAAATATGTGAAAAGTCAATATCTTACAGATTTGCATTCGTCACAAGTGCATAATGCAGTTCTCCAACCCTCTATCCAAAAACAGCTTCCCTTGGTATCTGCACAGTTAACTTTTGGCATTTGACATCCTTTCGGCAACTCACTGACGTTTATCTCTTCATTTTTCTCAGATACACTCGATTTTGTATCCGTTTTCTTTAGGACTATTTCCAACAAAATAACATATCAATAAGCTTACAATTAAATAACAATTAGTTTACAATGAAGTAATTTCATTTAGCATAACAGTAACCTGCATGTTTTGTTGCATATTTCCACAGAAAGTCATGTTCCCTCATACAGCTTGCACAGATCATTTCATCATATGCATTATCTGCTGGTACACTGTTGTCGCATTCCAGGTGCTAAGAGAAATTATATTAGATATTTAAAATTTATTTTTATTAATATAAAATGATGTACATAGTGTGAATCTTAATTGAGTTCTTCAAACTGATCAACTTCTCGTAAATCTCTTCATTTTATTACCATATAATAAATTTATAGTTTAATTAATTTTCTTTTATTTCACAGACGACTATTTTGATTTCTAAAGCTCAATTATTAAGTCTGAGACGTATAATGTAATTTTTCATGCTAGATTGCATATGATCTAGTAGATTACTAAAATTACATTACGTAGAATGTAGATTTCTAGTCATTTACAAAATCGCATGCAATCTAATATGAAAAATTGCATCGAAAAATGCTTTGAATTTTATACATAAAGATAAAACACCTTCAATTTATTTTCTTCGAAAAGGCAGTAATCCAAAGAAATACTAATAAAATATCAAAATTGTTATAAAAATAATTACTTTTTAATAAAACTATTTTAATTTAGTTTTTGTTAAATATAAAAACGTTTATGTCAACTTGTGTGGCTTTATATTTATGGTCAAAACTGTAAATAAACTACTTTAGACAATGAATACAAAGCCTGAAAGAGATACTAATACAAATATAAGTCATATAAGACTTATTCTGTATATTTACCTTTAAATGATACCAATCCTCGCATATTATACACTGCAGCATGTCATCCTCATCACCTTCCGGATCGGGATACGGTCTTGCACAGGTACAATAAACACCATCAAAATTCTGATTGTATTTATTCTCAGTATTAATAGTAGATTTTAGCTAGAAAGCACACAAGCGAGTGTCAGTCAATCAATGCAATATAAATTTATAAGTAAAATATATGAAAAGTATCTAAGTGAAAGACCATATTACCTTCTCCAGATTACATTGTTTGCCATTAAATTTGGTATTTCCACAGTCACATCTGAAGTGTCGCTTTGTATACAGCTCCACAAGTTCGTGATTCTCGTGACAGTGAAAACTACATGCCAGACAAACAGCAGCACGAATTTTATCCGAACAGCACGTTTTGCACGCATACAGAGCTTGTCTTATGTACCCCTGCAAACAGTTATTAGCGAAAGAAATTAACAAGCCAAAGATAGTCAAATCAAGGGAGAATACTATAAATTGCAATAATGTCGCGAACACGAGATCGCGGTGGCTACCTTGCTATAAGTACAATTTTGGTCGTCGGACGCGCCCAAAACGGCGTATGCATCTTCCTCGAGCTGGCTTTCAACCTGGAGAACGTCGAGCATCGTGACGGAATTGTCGTCCTCCACAGACTCGGCCAATTTGTCGGACATGATCGCCGTTACGACTCACGAGAGGGTCCACCTTGCGAGAACGCAGGGTGAGACTTGGAGTCAGGAATCAGGATCTGAACAGGGCGTCCCGCGACGTCTCCGCCGAAGGCGTGAAAGGTTAGAGCAAACTGCGTCGAACGAATTCACAGATTGACAGCAACGCGTTCGGCGCGACGCATCTTACCGACCTTGCCCTCGTCGTCCGATCCTCTTTTGGCGAATCGTGCGCGTCCCTGAATTTTTCTCAATCGTTCTACATCAGGATCATTAACAGTGATTTCCGTTACATCGGAACATGCCGCGGGATAAATGGGAAGCAGCAGCAAAAGACGCAAATTGTGAGCAACGATTCAAACTCAGGTCAGGAGTAGGACGATCAAACAGACCAAACGTTTTTACGCACGTACACTCGCTGACAAAAAGTGCGCGCCATACGCGGCGTTTCCTTCATGGTGGAAGGAAAAGGAATGTGTGTGCCAGTGTGTGCACTGTGCAGTTGACCGTGTGAAGCCAGCTGTCGGACTAACGATTTCAATATTTTTGAATATGCCATTCGTTTGCTATTTGTTTGCTAATTTTTACATCTATTTTTATTTTGTTTGCACATTAATTATTTTGGGTAAAAAATCGAAAAAAAAATTTGGACAAGTGTAACGGGTGTAACCGCCATTTGAAACCTTTATCTCTAATTTTATAAATAGATCGGAAGAGCACACG